CATAAAGGTGCTGCAGGAATTTGAAGGTTCTCTGTCCCTTTCCGCCACACTCTCCATCTCGCCCTGTCACCACACATTTATGGAAGGTGGCTTTCTAAAAGTTGTGCTCATGTGAGGGGTGTTGTATTCTCAGATGAGTACCTGACAAAGCAGTGGAAATATCCGATCGAGCTTCATGGGATTGGCAAATATGGCAACGACTCTTACAGGATTTTTTGCGTCAATGAGTGGAAGCAGGTGAGGCCCGCCCCCAGCCCTAGCCCAACCCGCACATTTGTCCCAGAAGCAAAAAACGTCCATGGTTATGGCTCAAACTACTCATTACATGCAAGTGCTATTGCAGTCCTGACCAGTTTTGTACCCAACTCAAGGGGAGCTGGCGGCATGGGGTCATCTGCAGCAGGGAGGGGGTCATTAGACACTCCCCAAGTCCCCAAAGACCCTTGGGCATGGCTCTGACCCTGGTTCTGCCTTTCTCTGTTTATGTGTTGACAAGAGGAGGCCGGTTGGGCCCAGAATGTTTGCTTGTGGGTTTCTCGTGGTGGTCTCAGACCGTTTTGGGCGGTAACTGGGTCCTCCTTCAGCTGCCCCTTCTGTTGGGTATACCCATCCCTAATGCATCCTGATGGCAGCTGGTGGGTGGCCTGGTACACTGTCCTGGCAACTGGTGACTTGCCCTCAAGCATTCACCCTGCAAGGTCAAGTCAAGCTGGGCTGGAAGGACACAGTCTTATCCCTGCTGCACCAGAGCAGTCCACTGTGACCTGAGCAGTCCATTCAGCTTCTAGAACCTCCTCCTAGAAAATGTGCTGATACTTGACTCATGTCCTCGCCACCTTGACCCTCCAGGACTGAATCAGGACTGAACTAGAAAGCACTTTGCCAACTGAACAGGGTCACCTTCATGTAAGGGATGATTTTACCTGTGAGTCCTATCATCTGTATTTCAGATGTAATGTGCTAATGCTCACCAAACCTTCCTTACAAAAACGTGTTGCTGACTAGCTTATCTCAGGACCCTGTCTCCTAATGTGTCGTATTTTTTCCAGGTGCACCCCCAGGATCACAAGTTAAATAAATACCATGACTGGCTTTGGGAAAATCATGAAAAATTAAGTCTGTCTTAAAGCCCTTCGAAGTTTCCAAACTTGTCTTTTGTGCACTGTTTTGCAAACAGTGGGTGTGTTTTGGCTTTTTTTTTTTTTTTTTTTTTGCGGGGGGGACTTTTATTTTTTGCAGTGCTAAGGCTGGAACTTGGGGACTTGCACATGCCAGCACCCCCGCCCCCCCTTCCCTACCCACCCCCAGCCCCCACTTCAGTTTTTACGAAGTCCATTAAAGGCAATCAAGCTACTTTTCCGGGAATATGATTTTAATTAGCCCATCTAGGAACACAGTGTGTGTTTTCTTAGTGTGTGGTGTACCATTGGCCCTTTATTACTGAATGTTCTAGAACATATTTTGAGATTTTTTAAAAAAAAGAAGAAATTATTTGATAACAATCCTAAAAATATATATGACTTTGCCAATAATGGAATGGAATGTAAAAGCGAAAAATGCTTTTCTGGGTCATCAATAATACAAAGCACATTTCCATCAACCCAGCTAGGGGAAGATTTGATTTTCTCTTTCTGTAGAAAATGATGTTACTGAAAATTATCTTAGGAAAAATCAAAGAGTTTGCCATTTCTATTACAATAATAATTTATTATTACTATTTTTGGCATTGGGGATTGATCCCAGAGGTCCTTTACCACTGACCATCACCATCACCCCCAACCCTTTTAACCCTTTTTATTTTTTATTTTGAGACAGGGTCTCTAAGTTGCTGAGGCTGGCCTTGAACTTGTGAACCTCCCAAGTCACTGTGATTGCAGATATTCTAATGTTATAGTTCAGATACTGAAACGTTTATCTCAGAAAGAAATTACCAGACAAAAATCCTTAATTATTAAGTCTTTTTTTTTTTTTTTTTTTAATTGGTACTGGGTATTGTACCCAGGGACACTTCACCACTGAGCCACATCCCCAGCCCTTTTTATATTTTATTTAGCGACAGGGTCTCACTGAGTTGCTTAGGGCCTTGCTGAGTTGCTGAGGCTGGCCTCCAACTCATGATCCTCCAGCCTCAGCCTCACAAGCCCTTAGGACTATAGGTGATTAAGATCTCTTTTTTCCCCTTTTTTTTTTTATTGATGTTATTAAGTCTTAATTGCCATTTGAAAATTAAATTATAACTAATTTATAAGTATAAACTTCCACTTCATAATGTCCCACCACATTTTCATTTAACAAAAATTCTTGTAGCACACCCACCAGCAAAGATCCACTGCTGGCCCACATGTTACACACTGGGGTTGGGGATGTAGCTCAGTGGTAGGGAGCTCACCTCGCATGTGTGAGGCCCTGGGTTCAGTCCCAGCACCACAAAAAGAAAAGAAGGGCTGGGGCTGTAACTCAGTATAGAGCACTTGCCTGGCATGTGTGAGGCACTGGGTTTGATTCTTAGCACCACATATAAATTAAAAAAATAAAGGTATATTGACAACTTAAAGAAAATATTACCAGAAGGGCTAGGGTTGTAGCTCAGTGGTAGAGCACTTGTCTAGCATGTGTGAGGCACTGGGTGTAAATAAATTAAAGATCCATCAACAACTTAAAAAAAAGTATTTAAAAAAAATTAAAAGAAGAAGAAAATACACAAATACACACTGTGTTCTCAGCTGGACTAACACTATAAGTCTGGAAAGGTGACTGGTTGTGTTTAATGGAGATCTTAAGAGTTGAAATTTTTAGAGTGTATTAGACAAGTAATTAATAAAAATATTTTTATTTAAAAAAAAAAAGAAGCTAAACTCCAAAGAAACTGGGGATTGAACCCAGGGGCACTTAACCACCAAGCCACATCCCCAGCATGTTTTTGTATTTTAACTTAAGAGACAGGGCCTCACTGAGTTGCTTAGGGCCTCACTAAGTTGCTGAGGCTGGCCTTGAACTTGGAGCCTCCTGCCTCCCGAGCCACAGGGATCATAGTGTGTGCCGTCCTTCATGTGTTCTTGATAGCTCCACACTGGCTCTCAGGAATGTGAGGTCTGCCCCCGTCCATTTTGTTAATGTGAAAATCAGCTCATATCCTTTACCTTGATCCCTTTGCAAAAACCAATCTCATCTTCCAGTGTGGAGGGTCGGACCTCCAATGTTTATGCCATTTTTATTATAGATATTGTAATAATACAGTTGAAATACTGAAATGTTTCCCTTAGAACTCACCAATTCCCCCCCAAAAAAATCCTAAATTATGAAGTCTTAATTACCAATTGCCATTTTAAGGTTTAATTTGAAAATTAACTTGACTGAATAAAGGAAAAATGAATGAATTGTTCGGGAAACTGCCCTGTAGGGTGGTGTGTGAGCAGATCAGATGCAGTGTGTCCGTCTCCCCAACAACTGTGGGTTTTTAGAGAAGGCTGAATTTTGACCAGAGAACACGAAAACCGGCCACACCTTCCCCTCCCCAGGACATCCTAAGTCCACTCCATGCTAACCCTTCACATCTGAACAGCATTCACAAATGCAAACCCTCTGTGGGGGAAGGAGACAAACAAGAAAAGACTGTGGAGGTCTTCAAGGAAGAGAGAATGGCAGACAGTAATGAAGGGGAGCAGAGCTGTCTGTCCCTATCAATGGCAGCTAAAGGTGGAGAAGGGTCTCTGAAGCCTTGGGCCACAGTCAGGGTTGGAGGGTGTGATATACTCACCAAACTTCAGCGTCAGATAGGGCTGCATGTGGGCTTGATGACACATCCCGACCCGTCCCCAGGTCCCTACTGATAGCATGAGCCTTGGAGGTGAGCTCCGCAGGACCACAAAGGGCTGCCCAGGCTCTAGGCTGGCCTTCCCCTTTCTTGCAGGTGTAGTTGCCCGACTTAGGGACTTGTTTCCTCATCTCTGAGATGGGATAGCACCGGCTCCCTTAGGGGGCTATTGTGATCCTTAAGTTCACACACACCAGTGCTTAGAGGGTGCCTCCTGTCAAGACTGCTCTTCAGGTGGCCCCAGGGAACACCACCGGGACTGCCTCTGGCATTGAGGGTCCCAGAGATAATGCAATCCAGTAAAGATGGTGCCCAGCACAGAAGCAGCACTGAAGTGGCTTTGTTTTTACCTTTTTGGGGGTAAAATGTATAAAACCCATCACCTAGCCACTTCAGGGAGGTAGTCCACTAGCAGAGCGCTTGCCCAGCCTGCGCAAGGCCCTGGGTTTCATCCCCAGCACAGGAAAAGAAAAAATCAGTAGTTTTTACTACATTTACATGGTTGTCCAATCGTCAATAATTCTAGAACTTTCCATCACCCTGAAAAGAAGCCCCAACCTGTTGCCAGTTATTCCTAGCCTGCCCCCCCCCATACCCTGGCAGTGATGAGCGGGCACTCTGCTGGGTCCCCCTGTCCTGGGTTTCTGCATAAATAGAATCGCACAGCAGTGGCCCCCAGCCTCCAGCGCGCCGTGTCGAGGGGAGCTTCAGACACCCCCGAGCTCGCAGGGCCTCTGGGTGAGAAAACCCGAGAACTGAAGGCGTGGACGTCTGCCCAGACCCTAGTTTGCAGGGAAGCCCGCGATTGGCGATTGGTTTCCTGCAAATTCAGGATGGGACCAGGACCGGCCAAAAGGAACTGAGAGGGAAGGCGGGCGGCCACGCCCCTCGCTCCTCCCACCTGGGCGCTCTGGGCCAATCAGCTCCCGGCGTCGGTTGTCACGGCAACGGGTTGTTGCCACTCTTTGCAAAGGAGCGCGCCTTTCTCGAAACCCAAGAGAGATTTTCCTTGAGCGCCGGCTCCTGCCACGAGCCAACGCCCCGATGAACGCAGACGTTTTGTCACCCACCCCCGATCCCAGACGCCAGTCCCTGGACTATTACTTCAGGATCTACCAGAGTCTGTTTCTGCAGCCGTCGCGTAAGTCCAAGCTGACTTCCTCCAGGATGTCGTCTGTAGGACGCCTCAGTCCCCCCACTGACGTGTAGAAGTGGGGGTGAGGGTGAGGACAGACCAAGATCTCTTTGTGCCGTGTCCCTGCTGGGTGAGGGGTTTCCTGAGAGTCAGGGCCGCTCGCCATGTGCATTTCTGAGATATCCATGCCGCAGCCTGGTTGGCGGAGTCTTTGGAAGACACCTCCAGACTTCAAGGTTCTGAGGACCGTCACCGCAGGCTAAATTCTTGGCAAACCTCGGCAGCCTCAGAAGGACAGAGATAAATGGATCATTACAGAATGAGAAGGGGTGAATGCGGGGTTCAGGGGTGTCCCCCGGAAGTAAGAGATCGGCTGAATGTAGGGGACATTGGAGGAACAGTTCCAAGCTGCTAGAAAAATCTTTACACCAGGCCTTAAAGGTAAAAAAGGAGTTCCCCAAGTCAGAAGGAGAAGAAGAGCCACACTCTAGCCCGGAGGACCTGGCTAGTTGGACCCAGGGACATGGGGACAAATTCATTTTTAGTTGGTTGTCACCTAACTCCTGAGCTTGAGATCCTTGGAAGCCACCCAGATGAAATGTCTTAGAAGCATCTGGATGTATAGAACAGGGGCTGGTTTCAGATCATAAATATTGGTGTGGGTGTCCTTGGCACGAAGGTCATCAAAACAAGAGAGCAGAGGAGGTTCTCTGAAAAAAGAAGAGAACACCGATATTTAAGGGCTGAGCAGGGAGACGGGGTCTCAAGAACGGTGGCCAGAGAGGTGACATGAGACTTAGCCAGAGATTTGAATCAGAAGCCAAGAGAGGGGAAAATTTCATGAACACATTCATGTCCAGACAGACTTTCCCAGAAAAATGGGAGCAAGTGTGTTTTCTGGATCATCCATCAGGAGGAGTAGGATCAAGGGCTAGGAGTTTCTGGGAAACCAATTCTGGATCAATCTAAGGATGTCCTTTCTAGAAGCCACAATTAGACACTCACAAAGTCATGCAGAGACATTTGTACCCCAGGAGGGTACAAAGAGAAGCAAAGTCTGCCAGTGACATTTTAGAGTCTCAGACCTGGGCAGGGAATGGGCCTCTGAGGGCTTTCTTTCTCAATCCAGAGGCAACACGTTCACAGTCTGCACCTGGGACTATGTGACAGCAGCCTCTGTCACATAGCAGCCTGTCCTGCTTTCCTATTGATGGACACAGGACCCCAAGGAACTTTAGGATGCAGTTGTATGAGGAAGGTGTGGTGGGTAGGCACCAGGGTGACATTTGGACTAGAAAACATGTAACAAAAAGTACTCAGCCAGGGGGAGACTTTAGGGACTCCTCTGCTCTTCAGAGGACACAGCAAATCTCAGAACAGGAAACTCGAGTCACATACAAAGCAACATTCATCAACTGTGCGATTCTAAAAACCACCACCACCCAGTAGGGTTGTACTTTAATTATCCCCATTTTACAGATGTAGAAAGTGAGGCCCAGAGAGGTCAAGTGACTTGCCCAAGATCATGCAGCCAGGAAGGGGCAGGGCCAGGACTCAGATCCGGGCACTCAGGCTCCCACAGGTGCTGTGGTACCTGAGATGAGTGGATCAGATCAGAGTTTCATTCTTCCAAGTTCATTCTGATATCCAATGGGAGCATCAATGGGGGGCTGGAGGTGAAAAGGAGTTCGTTAGAGAAAGTGGTAAAATCCTTAGCTTGGTGCCTGCCATCGTGAGTGCCAATCACATCAAAAAAAAAAAATCCATAAAAAGGAACTTTTCTTTGACTTTCTCCCAAGGGATCTACCAGGATAAGCTGTTAGATTTGGAGGAAAATGCCAACAACCTGTTTGATTCCGATCCCATCATTGAGCACTGCTTCCGGCAGTTCAAAGAGAAGGACTTCCAACTGCCTGAGAGCCGCCGGAGGATCATCATCCTGCCTCAGAGGCAGGAGCCAGTGCCCAGGGATCCCACCCTCCCGCCCACGCCACCCCCACCACCCGTCCCCAGCTACAAAGCCCTGGAAGACGGTGATATCCAAGGGCAGCCCGAGGACAGGAAGACCTGGCTGAACCACAGGCTGAGGCTCCGGAAGGAGCTGGAGTCGTTTGGTGACGTGAAGCGGTGGCTGGAGAACAAACCCAGTATCACGCCTTCAGAGGCCAAGGTGCTGCACATGATCCACAGAGAGCTTGACGCTCGAAGGGACCTCGCCTTGCGTACTTTCAAGGCCGCCATGGTGAGCTGTCCCCTGTGTCAGATGACGACGGTGAAGTTTTTAGGGATGTGCTGTCATTTTTTCATCCCTTGGGTTGGTCGGGAGGGGCATGCTTCAACCCATTTCACAGGGGAACAAACAGAGGTCCGGAAAGAGAGGTGTGTCTGTCACCCCATAACAAGTTGCCCCAAAGTGACTAAAAGCAAGAAATATTTAGCATTCAATCAGTGGTTGACATTTTTTCTTATTATTGCAGTCTCCCTGGGTTGGTTGGACTAGAAACTTCAGGGTCAATCTGGCTATTATCATAGCCAAAGCCCAAATGTCATGGGTCTAACCCACACTTTTCTCCCAGCAACACAGTGTCTATGAATAAACACTGGACTTGGGTTAGAAATGCAGCTCTGTAGCTGCTGTGTGACCTTGGGCACATCGCTTTACCTCTCTGTGCCTGATTCCTCATCTGTAAGTAGAGAAATATCTAATTCACAGCATCCTTTATTTCTTCCCCCCAAAAAGTATTGCCTACCTGCCTGGGGCCTGGGGCTGTGTTCATGACGGGAGAGATGTGCATATGAGGGAAATCTCAGCGCTCCTTGTCCAAGCCTCTTGTTCCAGATGAGGAAACCGAGGCTCACACAAGCAGTCTCCATGTGTTCTGCAGCAAAACACAGATGCCCTGCATCCTCCTTTGCTCTCCATCTTCTGTCCGTCTGTTGAGAGCTGCTCAGCCTCTGTCCCCCATCGGTCTTCCTGGAGATTGCGTCCCATGGATCCATCTCCTTTCAACTCCCCCCTCTGCCCCTCTCTCTGGCCTTTTCCAGGTAAAACCCGTTAAAGCCTCTCCAAAATCGGTGCCCCTTCTCCGGCTGCCCAAGCCCCCCGCGCTGTCAGACATGTACTCCTTCCTGCGCAGCCACAAGGTCAAGGTCCTGGAGCTGTTTCACAAGGCAGACGGGGACTGGAAGCAGCGGGTCTCCAGGGAGGAGTTCATCATGACTTTGAAGGCAGTGAGCAGCCCCCACTTCTGGCTGGGCCTCAGTGGGTGGGAGGAGGCTGCACCTCCCCTCGGGCCCTCTCCCCAGGTTCTGGGTCAGCTCAGAAGTAGACACAGGGAGGGCAGGGGATGGGGCTCTGCGGTAGAGCTGGCCTAGCATGTGTGCGGCCCTGGGTTCCATCCTCAGCACCACAAATAAATAAAGTCCATTGACAACTAAAAAAAAAACACCCCTGCTCTAGTGTGACCTTAAAAGACCCTACACAGGACCCGAAACTCAGCCCATCAGACCCCAGAACTGAACCCAGACAGAGCTGGGCCTTCAGTCCCGCTTCCTGAACCTTCTAGAACCTTCTCCACCTGTCCTGGGTACGAATCACATCGGGGTCTTGCATCTCACTCAGACCCTCTGTGATGGCCCAAGACCACCTTCTCCCCGTTTCCACTCTGACTGGCTCTCATGTAAATCGATTATAAATAAATAAAATCAAAAGTCCAATTCCCCAGTGGTGCCAGTCACATGTCATGGGGTCAGGAGTCCCACGTTGGGGCTGGGATGTTGCTCAGTGAGACTCTTTAATCCCCATAAACAAAAAGGCAAGATATTAAATCCTTTAGTCCCCGGAGAGTCCTGATCTCGTTTAAGGTGACTTCAGTGGACAATGACACTTATCTAAAGACACCGAGGAACACAATTATATTTCCTTTAAAACTTCTAGAACCTTCCGTATTGCTGGCAAGCATTATATCCCTCCAAAGTTGCTCCTTGTCCTTAAAAGAATCAGGTGTATTCTGTTTCTGGTCCTATTTTACTTCAGTTAAGGGGGCCTTAGGTGCTCTTTGACAACAAGGATGACAGAAGGCGGAACCATGCTTCCTACCCACCTGGTGAATGCTGTCATGGAGATTGGTACAAGGAAGGGTGGGGTCCCAGGGCCTGGCTCTGTAAGATGGCGGCATGTGGCCTGGGCTTGGAAGAGAGCAGGGAGCTGTGAAGGGCTCTGGGCTCCTGTGGCGGGGACACTGGGAGTGGCTGCAGAGAAACCCAAAAGTGAGGAGCTGGAGGGTGGACCAGATTGGCAAGGCCTTGGTTGGCAGGGCACGGTGCTGGGACGGGAGCCTGCCAGACCCCGTGTCTCCTCTTCTCTCCTGAGGCCGGAGTCCCTCTGAGTGGCCAGGAGGTGGAGGACATCGTGATCTATCTGAGCTCTCTGGGGAGGCACAACAGCATCACCATGGACAACCTGGCCAACAGCTACAAGCAGTGGTCTCTGAGTCGGCAGAGGAGCACCCTGCGCACTAGAAGAGAGGGTGCGTACCCCACCCGTCCTGGGAGCGAGCACGGCGCAGGAGGCCCCAGAGTCCCCTCCATGTGTGCAGGGGGGGGTCGCCTCACCCTCCCTGAGATCAACCTGCAGGAGCCCTACCAAGGGCAGCAGAAGGGTCGCCTCCTATAGGTGAAGAGTTGGGACAGGACTAACTCCCCGTCACACCAAGTGGGCTGCCCAGTATCCTCGCTGGTACCGGGAGAGCTCCCCCCAAGCATCCATCCCCAGTTCCCCAGTCCCAAGCTGCCCTGCAGAGTGGCTGTCCCCTCCTGAGCAGGGCCTCCATCCCGTCAGAGCCCAGGGAACCTGGGTATCCTCGCAGTCGTCATGAGCCATCTTTGATCCCAGTGACTGGGGAGGCTGAGGCAGGAGGATGGCAAGGTGGAGGCCAGGCTTGGCAATGTAGTGAGACTGTCTCAAAATTAAATAAATAAATAGACAGGGCCAGGGGTGTGGCTCAGGGGTAGAACACCAGGGGCTCAGTTTCCAGTACCACCACCAAAAAAAAAAATTTAAAAAGTAGTAGTGTCAGTGGGCAAGTAGGTGGAGTTGGGTGTCCCTGGCTTTGTCTGAAGAGGCAAGAGTCTGGGCACCTGGGATGCGAGGAGGAAGTGCCCGCATTTCTAGATGCCCACCTGTCCACAGTCTCAACAGAAGGCAGTAAGGCCCAGACTTCGTGTGAGCATACGGCAGTGAGGGCAGAATCAGGGTAGGAGCAAAGGATTTTCCCGTTTATTCTCATATTGCTGAGCACCTACTATGTGCCACGCACGGTTCTGGAAACTAGGAACACAGCCATGAACAAGCCAAAGCCCCTACCTTCAACAGCTTATGAGTCAAGGGTTACACAGGTGACCATGGCTTGAAGACAGTAGGACAGAGTCCGAGGGTGGTGGCCGGGGAAGACCTGTCCTCGAAGCAGGCACTGGAGCTGACCCAGGGATGGAGAAACCAGCGTCAGGTCAGTCTGAGGAGAAGGCGTCCTAGGCAGATGGGACTATCAAAGCAAAGGCCCTGGGGCAGGAAAGGCTTGGAGGTCAGGGGGCAGTCAGGGTGGCCATGGGAAGTGGGTGAGGGGTGAGCAGCCGGGAATGGGTCAGCCAAAGCCAAGGCCATATTCTACCAGGGCCGTGTGGCCCAGTGAGAAAGGCTCTGGGCCCCAGCGCAGTGAGAAGCCAGGGGAATGAGGTGATATGGTTTGATTTTTTTGTTTTGGTTGGTTTTTTGGTTTCTGTTTTGGTACCAGGGATTGAACCCAAGGCCCTTAACCCCTGAGCCCCACCCCCAGCCCTTTTTATTTATTTATTTTTTATTTACAGACAGGGTCTTGCTAAGTTGCTCAGGGCCTCACTAACTTGCTGAGGCTGGCCTCCAACTTGCGATCCTCCTGCCTCAGCCTCCCAAGCTGCAGGGATGACAGGCGTGGGCCACTGCACATGGCATGGTTTCTATTTTTTTAAAGGTCCTATTAGCCACCTGGAGGAAACAGGGCCACAGAGGATGAGAATGTCACCAGAAAGGCTGGGGAGGTGGAGTAGGGAGATGAGGGGGCCATGAGGGGGGAAAGGAGGGACATTCGACGGGGCGTGTCTGAGATGGACACTGACCAAATACGTGGCGCGGGAGCAGAGGGCTGACTTGGCTCTGCTCAGTGTCACTGGATGCCTGCTTCCCTGGCCAGCAGCCTCTCAGTCCCTCCTCCTTGTCTCTTCTCTCTGACTAGATGTGGATAAGGAGAAGAGTTGCCTCAGGAGCTCTGTCCGTAAACAAAAGGACCCAACCATTCCCAAGATGGATCTTCTGACGGTGCCCGAGGTGGACGTGGAGACAGAGGCACGGCCCATGACCCTGGAGGAGATGGAGGAGGTGGACAGGCGGTACTACGAGAAGAAGCACCAGTACAAGGTACCCCCCAGGCTGGGAAGGGCATGGGGACTGAGGATGGGCCAGGCTGGGTTCAAGCACCCTGCACCCTGCTGGATGGAAGAACCCTTGGAAGAGGTGTTTTCCCCTCCCTGAGCTCCCTACCGCCCCTTACCTGGACAATCAGAACCATACCTGCCTTGCAAACTGTGGAGAAGAAGGTGGGCATGCTGGTGCACACCTGTAATCCCAGAGGCTTGGGAGGCCGAGGCAGGAGGATCACAAGTTGGAGGCCAGCCTTGACAACTTAGCGAGACCCTAACCCAGAGGTGCTTTACCACTAAGCTACATCCTTTACGCTTTTTTAAAATTTTGACGCAAGGTCTCGCTAAGTTGCCTAGGGCCTCCCTAAGTTGCTGAGGCTGGCCTTGAACTTGGTGATCCTCCTGCCTCAGCCTCCTGAGCCATTTTTCAATAGAGCTCCTCCAGAGCGGCTGTACCATGCCCTTCCGTGCGTGTTACACAACCGTGGGCTCAACTCAAGGGCTCTTCAGGGGTAACCTGGACCATGCGGGTTCTTCTTCAAGGTCACTGTCCTTGGAACCTGAAATACAGCTGCTTTTCCATTCCCCCTCTTGGGGACCTCTGGGGGGAGGTGAAGAAGACCCTCCTCCTGCCTTCGGGCCAGGAGGAAGGTCCCGGGCACACAGACAAGGGAGCCTCCCTCTGTGTCCCCTTCCTCCCCTCCGTCCAGTACTCTCACCCGGTGCATCCTGGGAAGGAGCAGGTTGACGCTCACTGCCTCCCGTCCACCATCCCCGGGGACATGCAGGGGCTCATCAACAAGGCCCGCAAGGACGTCTTTCTGGTCTACCGGCAGTGCTGCAGTCTCTGTGAGTCGTACGGCCTCCCGCTGACGGAGGACATCCTCATGAGAGGTGAGGCTCAGCGGCTGGCCCTCAGGAAGCTGCCACTTGTTCCCTAGTCAGGGTGAAGGTGGCGATCACCCAGGGCTTGTCCTTCTCCAGATGGAAGTCACCCCGCCAAGCCACTGTGGCCTGCGGGGCAGGCGCTGGGCAGGAGGAGGGAGGAGAGCTGGGGCGCCCGTTGCCTGATGACTTACAAAATGAGCAGGCAGGACCCTGTCTCTGCACTTTAAAAACATGAAGGAACTGGGTGCAGTGGCGCACACCTGCAATCCCAGCAGTTCAGGAGGCTGAGGCAGGAGGATCGCAAGTTGGAGGCCAGCCTCGAAAATTTCAGCAAGTCCCTAAGCAACTTAGTGAAACCCTGTCTCAAAAAATAACAAGGGCTGGGGATGTGGCTCAGTGGTAAGGCTCCTCTGGATTCCAGCCCCCGTACCAACCAAAAAGGGGTGCAGGGAGGGAGAGAGAGAGAAAAGAAATCAGGGGTGCCTTTTGAAAATGTTAATATTGTACATCTTCCCTTCTTCAAAACCTTCTTACTGCTCAGCCTCCTCTTCTTCCCCAAGTAACCAGTATAGAGTGGAACGTCTGTTGCTTTTTCTGGAACATAAAGTGTTCACATGTTGCCATCTCAGGGCAAACAACTCAGCTCAGCCCTGGCAGGAAGGGGGAGACCCTGGGCCAGCATTTTTTAAAAATATCTTTATTTCATTTATTTACTTTTATGTGGTGATGAGGATCGAACCCAGTGCCTCACACTTGCCAGGCAAACACTCTGCCACTGAGCCTGGGCCAGTTATTTTTTACGTTCTGCCTTTATCAGAGAAACTCTCCCAAGGAGATCTGGGAGACAAAGTCAAGCCCGAAGAATAGATCTAATTAACCTCATGAGTCTTGGCGGAGTCCTCCTGCTTCTCCTGCGACTGTCCCCTGTGCTGTCCCAGTGCAGCCAGGCTCGGCCTTTGCTGACCCTGATATAGCAATCCGCCTCCCTATCCATTGAGCCACACTGCCCACGCAGGGCCCTTTCCTGATCAGGTATTACAGCCAGATGCCCCATGAGCACTGAAGGGAGTTGGAGAGGGCTCAACCCTCTCTGCACTTGTTTTTAAATATATATTATTAGTTGCAGATGGACACAATACTCTTATTTAACTTATTTATTTTTATGTGGTGCTGAGGATCGAACCCTGCGCCTCACACATGCTAGGCCAGTGCTCTACCACCGAGCCCCAGCCCCAGCCTTGTTCCGTGTTTTTTTGCAGTTTGGGGGTGAACTGACTATCATTTAAAAATAGAAAGTGAAATAATGTGTATAGGACTGAGATCTGACGTTGTATTACGTAGTGGGGTGACTATGGCTAGCACTGTGTTGTTATGTTGGGGTCTGCAGGTGTAGAGCAGATGCCTAGCAGACATGAGGTCCTGGGTTCAGTGCCACACACACACACACACACACACACACACACACACACACACTCACACACAC